ATGTATAGAAGATTAAGTTTATTATTATGTTGTAAACGAGCAGGGTGAAGTGTAGTAAGATCAAGAGTGCCAACTTTTTTCGTTGCTCAAGCCACTATAAAATTATTAATAATTAGACGCTACTGTAATTTCACATAATTTTTGAGAAATTTGTATAAAATCATGGAATATGACATGTCATAAAATAGAATGGGAAGACTTTTCCTATGAACCAATGTTCTACCTGAACCAAGTCACAAGTATAAGATAGGTTCTACCTGACCCATGTCATCAAGTATAAAGTCAACTTTAGTCACCTTGTCCACAACAATATCTAAATTGAGGTAATTTAACATATCATATAAATTCACATCTAATGGTTTTAAACATAAATTGACAAAAACCAAACTTAACATATATATATATATATATATATATATATATATATATATATATATATATATATATATATATATATATATATGTTTTCTAGATCTAATGACAATTATAAGTGGTGGGACACACATGAATTAATGACTACTATATAATAAATTAGAAAATACAACGAAAAAGTAGTGAAAACATGAAACACGCACTCTAAAGCTTGCTTGGCCCTCTAAAATTAACATAATTTCTTGTGACATCGGCCTTTGTCAAGTTGTTTAAGTACTTGTAATTACTCTCTTTCACAAGGAAATCATAGATAGGACAAAGGGCATGAGTACATTACCTACCCATCTTTCTAAAACCGAAATCATGTTGAATGATGGGTAAAATTCTCTTTAATTAAGTTAAACAACTATTAGATTATATCCTTGGAGTTAAATTTTTACTACGCTTATAAATATAAAACAGAAAAACCATGTGATGTAAGCAAATAAAAACATATAATCTTTAAATTGCATTTTGTAATACTCCATTTCACCGATACATAACGAAATAAAATCACAAAATTTGAATTAAATTTAATCACATATCAATCATGACTCTAAAATCAGTAATCAACCAATGAAAAGTTCTATAATTGAAAATCAAAATCATGGTAATAAAACTTACACTGAAGTTCCCATCGCTAAACCTAATCTCCTATGCTAGGGGGTAGAAAATAACTGGACATGATGAAAGAGAAGAACCAACGATTAGCATCGATAAAACTGATGTGGCTTTTCTAAAATGCAGACAATAAAACAAATCTAATTTCAATAACATACAAGAGAGAGAGAGAGAGATGGTACCATAGTTGGTTGAGGAGAAAAGTTAAGAGAATAAGAAATTGGAGGTTCTCCACACCGATTAAAGTCGAATTGTTGAATTCATAGGTGGCAATACAAGCTGGAAGCAGGATGTGTCGCCAAAGCTGTAAGCAGGATGTGGCACAAAAACTTACAAGAGGGTCAATAAATTACTTTACTCCATACCAAAAAAAAGAATGCAAAGTACAATGCAATAATAATACACACAAAGACACACATTTACACACAGAGACATCAGTTGATGTGGTAATGAATGTTATTATTTGATACTTAATTAGAAATGGATACTAACGAACCTAGTCACTATGTTTTCATATTATACATTTTAACATCGGTCTTTATATATGAATCATAAATACCACTAATTTACCTGTATCCTATTTCAAATATATATAAAAAACAATATGTTATTGTCAAAGGTATCTCTTGCAATGTATATAAAAGGAGTGCTTTTTATTTATAAGAAACTGAAATGGGACAAAGGGTTGTTGATTTAGTTAATAGTAGTACCGTCAAGCCAAAAATTTAAGCCAATTTTCAGAAAAAAAAAAAAAACTTTGATCGTCCTCTGTTTTCTATTTGAAGCATGAAAATACCATCTTTTTCATGTTTTCTAATTCAAGCCTCTATCAAACTGAGCAAAATTCAAGACATTTCTATCAGACATTTAATCGAACAAATTGTGAACATCATTACCAACAATGCTTCTCGAACTCAAAATTTGGATAAATCAATAATCATATTCAAAGAAATTAACAATCAATCCAACTAATTGACATATTTGTACCGTATCAGCTTGTTAGTTTCATTAACTAACAAGTAACACCAATCCATAAAAATTCATCTTGCTTTATGTTTGCTTTATGTTTTAAGCGAGATAACATGGACAGAGAGACCCACCCATTAATGATTATATACAACTCATTTCACAAATTTTGTTTTTTTTGCATACCAATCATCCCTCAAACCTTCGCAGCGTAAAAAAATTATACGAAAATCAATATTACACATACTTTTGCATTTCAGAGACTAAAAAGATAATCATAGACAAGAACAAACCTTTACCAAGAAAGTACCTGCATGCAACATCATAGACATTTCTTATTAGGTTTTCAAAGAAAGAGGATTAAACTGCAGCTACTTCAGAGGACAGTGAAGCTATCTGCAAATCATTATAAACTAAACCTAATGTAGAAATTAAATGTGTGACAGAGAGAGGGGAGTTAAGCAAGAAAGTCAATGATTACCTTCATGAGAAACAAGAAACGTCGTGATATGGGTTTCCTTGCCATCGTTTCTGATTAAACAAGAAACAAAAAATAGAAACCATGATGATTATGGAAAAAAAAAACATATGAATTAAAGTTTCAAAATTTGCATAAGTTGTCTACAACATATAAAGCAATATATTAAAGAGAAGACTTCAAGAAACAACAGAGGTAAAATAGAAAAAAAATAAGCAAAAACTAAAAACTACCTTGTTTGAAAGATAAGAGACTGATGAATCGATTTGTATTGTACCCAGAGATATAAAAAAAAACCCACAAAAGTTTAGGTGGTGTAGGGAGAGAAACTGGGTGACTATGTGTGGTTAAAGTATGGCGGTGAGTCATCCGATGGTAGTGGATGGTGTACTTCCACCACATGGATATCTTACTTCTTTCATCCTGCCATGATTGCTAAATCCCATAATCCCCAAATCGAACGTCTCTTCACAATCATCTTTGAAGTCATTTGAATTTGAATCCTTGCTAATTCTCAACGATGTCGGATTCTCTCGCATCAATCAATAAAATAGATTTAGGTTGCAGATATGAAAAGAGAAATTGGAGAGACTTTGACCTTATATATAAAATAAACATGGAGTCGGCATGAAGAGGATGACTCAGACGCTATCAAGGGATGTGGCGGTAAAAGGGGATCCAAGAGTGGCAAGCAGCTTTCGGGGAAACATCGCCAGAAAGAAAACCCATGGGGAAAGTCTTCTGCGTCATCTTGACGTCAGGCCGACCAGAAGCAAGCAGGCACGCAACTTGCATCAACATAGAACGATGCGGTTTTGGAACCCCAGTGTGTAGGGTTGAGGAGAATATAAGCAAACAAACAGGTAGCTTACCACCAGATGACGAAGGCGTTAAGATTGATCGGTAGAAAGTTGCTCATTGACGTATATCGGGTAACCTTGCAGAAGTCACGGTGACGTAGGGTTGAGGGAAGGATGACGGAGACAAGCAAGCAAGCAGGTGATGAGACGAAGCAGGTCATTGACGTACATAACGTTACTATCTAGAAAAAAGGGGCTCACATATAGGTAAATGATATATATATATATATATATATATATATATATATATATATATATATATATATATATATATATATATATATGTATATATATGACTGTTAGGTGCTGCTAAATCAATATTCGTTTTGGAGTAAATTGGTCATGTCCTTATGATTTAGGGTTCTTTATTATTATTATTATTTTTTTATAAAATCCAATTTTTTATTAACACAATTATATATATATATATAATAATATATATAATATATATATATATATATAACTGTTTAATTAAAAAATTGGATTTAAAAATAATAATAATAATAATAATAATAATAATAATAATAATAATAAAGAACCCTAAATCATATGGACATGACCAATTTACTCCAAAAGGAATATTGGTTTAACAGAACCTACCTAACAGTGCTAACCAAATTTAGAAAGACTTAGCCGGTAAGAGTTTAGGGTAAATTACACCGTTGGTCCCTCGTGCACATGCCAGAAAGCATGTTTAGTCCCTATTTCCAAAATTTAACTCGTGCAGTCCCTCGTTGTTATTTATCTTGCATGGTTAGTCCCTATGCACGTTAACTGTTAAATCCTTCCGTTTAAGCTACCCACGTGCCTTGCACGCAGGGGCATTTTCGTCTTTTCAGGGTTTGTATACATGAACCAGTATGGCGCGACTTCGATAACCGATCATTTCTGATTTCATCCTCCGTCGACCCTTAGCATTGCACGAGAAAACCCTAGTTTTCTACGATGGTGAACTGGAGGATTAGGCAAGAATGGGAGGAATACGATCTCCAAAGCTCATACGGTAAAATTTTCTACATTTTCAGTTGATCATCCATTATACGTTCCTAAAACGTAATTTTTTTTTGGGTTCGCAGCTGACAATCCATGTATGTTCTCGATACGATTGAACTATGGTGGAGTTTTTACGAAGTTTCCAGGCCGCAAATACATAAAGGGGAAGATGAAATATATTGATGGCATTGATAGTGACTTGTTCTCGGTGCATGATATGGACGAGATAATGGAATTGCTTGATTGTGTGGAACCAGGTAAAAGTATTTATTATCATTTCAAACGACCAACCTGGGATTTAGATTTTGGGTTGTATGCTTTGGGTTGTGACGAAGATATAAACCACTTTAGGTCATACGTGTATGAACACAAGGTGATAGAAGTGTATACAGAGTTTTGGGAAACCAAGCTCCATACGTATCAAATGTCCCCAAACCCTGCAAAGATAAAGATACACGAAATTCCTGAGTCCCTTTGTCGTAAAAGCTTGTTATTGACATGGTCAAATTCAGGGGATTGTCCTAGTGAAGAAGCCCCTGTTTTTGAGAATGTAGAAACTATGGACGAACCCCCTAGTACATTACTTGAAACAACCCCTTGTTACATTGAGTGAAACAGTTGAGTCAACCCCTGCCTATATACCAAGAATTGAAAGCCCTTTGACTGAACCAATGATAGGAAGCACATGTCCTAATGTTGATGGTTGGGATGATACATTTGAATGGTGTGAACCTTTTGGTGGGACTCCTATGGAACAAGATGAACCAAATAGTGAAAAAGCAGGTGAAGACAGTCAAGCTAGTAAAGACAGTCATGATAGTGATGACACTGAAGATAGTGAATACAGTCAAGATAGCGATTACATAGTTGATGAAGATAATTTGTTAGATGATCCAGAGGTTGATATGAAGAACTTTCACCTCAACATTGACAAAGAGGTGGAGTGGGTTGGAAGTTTTCCTGATGATCGAGATGAAGCAGTAGAAGGTGATGAAGAATTAGAGGTTATAAACACTGAAGAATTTGTATCTGCATCTTCATCAGATGAGGGTGAAGCTAGTAAAAAAAGGAAGAAGATAAGAGATTTACGAAGAGCACATAAGAATGAAGCAGCTGCTGTCAAAGATCCATTTTACATCCACCAGACTTTTAGCACAGCCAAGGAAGTTAAACAACAAATTTATCTTCATTCCATACAGAGTAGAAGGGAGTTAGACTTCGTCAAGAATGACAAAAATAGGATTAGAGTGGTTTGCAAAGGGACAATACCAAACCTTGGGATATTAGAAACAGGTGGGACCAGCAAAAGTAATGACAAAGTGGGACCAAGTCAAAAGAAAAAGAAAGTGAAAGATGGTTCTATTCATAAATGCCCATGGGTCCTACTAGTGAGTAAGTGGAAAAAAGACATTAACTGGACTGTTAAGACCTATGAAAAGCAACATACGTGCCTTCAAACAAGGAAAATTAGGGCATGTAACTACAAGTTTCTCTCTGAACAGATTGTTGACACAGTGGAGGCAAACCCAGAAATACCACTTAGAGCATTACGTGAGATGCTTGAGAAGAAATACCAACTTGGATTGTCAGACATGAAAGTTCATAGGGCGAAAACGAAAGCCCTGGAATCAATTAGGGGAGATTTTGCTGCTCAGTACTCATGTCTAAGAGACTACTTACAGGAGGTGCAGAGTAGAAATCCAAACACCACAGTCAAACTTCAAGTGCAAAGTGAACCATGTTATGCATCTGAGACCAGGGTATTTGAACGAGTATACATTTGTCTTGGTCCACTGAAAAGTGGATTTGCAGCAGGGAAAAGAGATTTACTAGGGCTTGATGGTGCATTCATGAAGGGTCCATACCATGGTATGATCCTGACAGCAGTGGTATGTGCATAATCATATTTTAGTATTTGATTAATGTTTGACCATAGTTAATTGTTTGCTTATTACTGTGTTTGACATGATAATTCAGGGTTTAGATGGGAACAATTGCACATACCCTTTGGCATATGCAGTTGTTGAAGCAGAGAACTTTAATTCATGGACCTGGTTTTTAACTAACTTAGGAGATGATCTTGGTTTGTATGCAAACTCCAACTTCACTTTCATATCAGATAGACAGAAGGTAAATAAAGTTCTCCATTCATTTTCACATGCATGTTTTACAATTCAATAAGCAACTTCACTCTTTTGATGATTTAGGGGTTATTGCCTGCACTTGAGAAACTTTTCCCAGCAGCAGAGCATAGATATTGCCTAAGGCATCTTCATGAGAACATGAAACGTAAATGGAGGGGCAAGGAATTCAAGGATTGTCTTTGGAAATGTGCAACATGTACCACCATACCACAATTCAACAGTGCCATGGAAGAACTAAAGAAACTTAACAGTGAAGCATATGACTGGCTTAATTCTATTCCACCTAAGCACTGGTCCAGATCCCACTTCTCAGGTATATAATATTATGTTTATAAGTGTATAATTTTTAAATATAATCTAATACAGTTGTGTTTTATTAGGGAGGGCACATTGTGATGCTTTGTTGAATAATATGTGTGAGAGTTTGAATAGCAAGATAGTGAAGGGTCGTGATAAGCCAATTATCAGTTGCTTGGAGTTTATTAGGGAGTATATCATGAGGAAAATTGTCATGGTTCAAAAAGAAATTGATAAAGCTAATGGCCCATTAACTCCTACAGCCACTAAGACCCTTGAAAAAATTAAAGAAAGGGCAGTACAGTGTAGGGCAGTGTTCTGTGGCAATGGGAAGTACCAGGTTACAAGTGAAGGTACTAATCAGTATGTGGTTAATATGGACCAACAAACTTGTTCATGTAATAGGTGGGAACTGACAGGCATACCCTGCAAACATAGTATAGCAGCTATATGGGATATGAGGCTCAACAATGAAAATGTTGGAATACCTGAGACATGGGTACACCCAACTTATTGGCTCAAGACATGGAAAGAAATGTATGTCTTCAAAGTTGAACCTATTAATGGGAGGTTATTGTGGGAAAAAAGCACATGTCCTACCAAGTTGATACCACCAAAGTATCGTGTCCCTATTGGCAGACCAAAAAAAAAGAGAAGAAGATCTGCAACAGAAGATGATGGAGTGTCCACAAAATGGAAATCTGTAACATGCACAAAATGTGGAAATGTGGGCCATAATGGAAGGACCTGCAAGGGACAATCACAGACTGGGAATGGAACAGGAGAAGGTGCAGCAGGGAATACAACAGGAGAAGGTGCAGCAGGTAGCAGTGGTGGTGTACAAAATGGAGTTGGGAACAAAGGAAAAAGCCCCATGCTTTGAGAATTTGTAGTTTGGTATCATGATCATGAAGGATAACTATGTTTTTGTTAGGCATTTATTGCCATATTACTTTGTTGTTATGTTTTGTATTTTGATACTTTGTTGCTGTGTAGGATAACTATTTGTATGCCATAAGACTATGTTGTTATTTTGGATGTCCCTTTATGTTAATGGTCAATGGTTATCTTGGATATTTTAGAGTTTTTGTCCTTTTTAATTGTTATATTGGATGCTAGTATTGAATGGTATATTGCATATGTTGCAAATACCACATTTTCATTAAATTTGAACACCAACTGATAACACCACATTATGATTACACAATATATTGTAACTAAAATTGAAATTTTTTTGTTAATACAAATAACATTACAAAGAGTCTCCATTACAAAATACACATACCAAAATACTAACAACTTCATTACTTAACCTACACTTTATATATAAGGACTGAAACAAAAAAAAACCCAGCTAATAACTAGGTAAAGCTTCAATTTGCGATTTTGTTCTTCAAGTTTCATCCTAAACGCCATACAATCACAGTCCTGATCATAATCATTCACCCATCCTATGAACTTGCATAATGGTCCCTGAACCAATTAAAGTAGATGAAGAATTAGGGCAAAATTAGAGAAGACGAAGAACGAAATTGAAATCATTAACCTTACCTTTACTGTACAAGCATAATAGAGTTTCCCAGGGTTTCTTTTGCTATAAGATGTGCGAATCACTGCAGTGGCTCCACAATTGTATTTAATATCGATCATTGTTATGTATTTGGAAGAAATCGATCGAACGAGGGGAAGAGACGAACGAGAGGATACAGAGGAAAAGAGGGTTGCAGTGTTCTTTATAAGATTTAAGGTGTAACGGCATTAAATATGGACACAAACCCTGAAAAGACGAAAATGCCCCTGCGTGCAAGGCACGTGGGTAGCTTAAACGGAAGGATTTAACAGTTAACGTGCATAGGGACTAACCATGCAAGATAAATAACAACGAGGGACTGCACGAGTTAAATTTTGGAAATAGGGACTAAACATGCTTTCTGGCATGTGCACGAGGGACCAACGGTGTAATTTACCCAAGAGTTTAACAGTGGAGGGTGTAATTTATCAATACTAAACACCCACATACTTCATTGCATTTTCATATTCAATCCCCTCTGTTAGGGTTTCTATTTTAGCCCTAAAATCCACACACGTTATTCTACTCAATTATTCTGGAAACAAAAGGCGATTCATCAAAGAAAAAGCAGTACCAATCTAGGTAAATTTCTGTTTATGTCGCACGAAGACGCCTACCATGGGTAGTTGTCTTTGTTTTGTGTGAATGTTTATAGCCGATCGGATGATTTGGTTTTGAATATGACACAGGGTTTCTGTATAATATGTTGCTATTTGTTTAAATTAAATTTTTGTAGGCATTTTGATTGTTAAACTCGATGGCTGGAAAAGACTCGGACTACCGTATATTTGTCGGAGGGCTATCATGGGACGTTACTGAGCGCCAACTGGAAGGCGCCTTTGGTCGTTTCGGAAAAATTATCGACTCTCAGGTTCCTTGCTTTTCTTATCTTTTATGATTTGTTGATTAATTGGTAAATTTACATCTACGTTAAGATTAATTTCTGAGAAAGTACGTGGAAGAACAGATTTACGATTTTGAAGGTCCTAATTTTGATATCATTATGTTCTTTCAATAAGCCTGAGGGTTCGTAATTTGGTGTAAATTTGAGTGGGTCTTTTGGATTTTGCAAGGAGGGTGTAGGGTTGCAAGTATATTCTGATCATAAGGTGGTTTAGCTGTTAACCTTACTTATTTGGCCTTGTTACGGGTTCGCTTAGCCATCAGGAAACTTAGTTAGACATGAGTCTTATTTGAATGTGTTTATGGATTTATGCAACCCTGTAGATGCTAGAGAAACAAATTTATGTTAACCAAGATTGTCAGTTCATTTTTTTTTCTCCTTAAAAAGTTATACTTAAATATTATTATAGTAAGTCAATGATTTTCCTTTGGTGCTTCTGTTATTAATAATCTGTTTGTTTGTTTTCTTGCTGGAATGCTGGTTCTGATCTTTGGTTGCTTAAGATGGATTTGTTTACAAGAAATTGTGGGTTCTGTTGGGTTGAACTGCTGAAGCTCACTTTCGTTTTTATGCTTTGCTTTGTTCAGTTGGTTGTTTTGAAATAGAACATCTGTATGTCAACACGTTGCACAATCTTAACAGCTTGTATCAGATATGCCCGTGTAAGTAAGCTTGTGATCTGCTTTGAGAAAGTACGTGGTTTGAGACACACATGGAGATCTATCAGCAATTTTGGACTTGTCATATGTATTATTAACATGTGGCTGAACCTCTGAAAAGTCAACAAGATTTAGCAAACTTCATGAAGCTAGTAGCTTATAATAAAGCTAATCATTTTTTTCATTTGTTGTTGACACAAGTGCTGCCATATGTTGATTAGGATTTGAAGTCAAATTATATTGATTAAAGAACATATTCTTGAATGCACACTGCATCTGTGATAGAGAAATAACTTTGGACCAGTAACTTGGAAGGTGTACTCAAGGAGGAAAGCCCAAAGCCAAAGAAGGACATGTGTAGGGTGGTAAGATAGGACACATGTATGGTGAGATTCTAGTAAGTTGTTATGCATGTGGGGGAATTAGCCAATCGGGAGAGCAGTAGTTTCTGAGAAGTTCATGTGTCGTTGTGCTTCGATATGATTACTATTGATTAGATTAATGCACCTTTCGTTCAACTGCCTCCATATACTTTTTTGAGCTTTTTAGAACTTGAGCATTCAGATTAACACCAGAGTTGCTAGGATTAAGATGCCAATGCTCTGTTTTGTCAGTTATGCCATCTGTTTTGAGCAGTTTTCATTAAATAATACGTACACAGAAAGTCTGATTGGTGGTCTTCATCATTTAGCAGAAGATTAGGGTACATAGTATTCTTTTGTGGAGGATTCTCAATGACTGAAGCTATCTTTGTGCTCGATTTTGCATCCTGTTCTTCTGGAGTTTCATTTATCTTAGCACTTGTTTCAAGTAGATTTCTTTTATGACAAAGTCCATGATGGTTAGTTATAGTGTAAGTAAAACATAGAGCCTCCTAGACTCAACCCTCAAAAGCAATATCCTGATTTGCAGTGCTGTAGAGACCGTTTGTGAAAGCAATTACTACTAGCAGGGCTTTTTGTTTGTGTTTGTTCTTCCATGCTGATTCATGTAATGGGACAATGTGATCCGGATTGACACTTTTTGGTGAAGGTTTCCAAGATTTCAAGCTAAAGCTGCTATCTTTATCCCAATGATTTTTAGCTATATAGAGCTTCTTCTTGCTGTTTAGCATCTTATGTTCAAGAAACTACCTGGCACCGATATAATTTATGACACCAAAAATATGATGAAGTGGCAATAGTGATGTATGTTTCCCTGAAAGATGAGATAGTAAAAGATCCCTTAAGTTGTCCAAAGTGGGGAAGAAAGAAGAAACTGATTACCTTGTTATGTTATAAAATCTTAGAAATTAAGCTAAAACAACAAAAGTAATCGTATCATCAGCTGAACTTCTGTGGTTAAGTCATCCCAAGTGCTGTAATGTATGTTATGCGGGCTATAAGAAAATTCCAGTTAAAGATCTGTTATTAGTAACAGTAGTAAGTAAACAGTGAGAAAGAAAAGAAGAAATTGATAAGTGATTTGTTGCAGAGTGCCCTGAATCTGATCCACTATTATAAATCCTAACAAATTAAGTTCTTTATCGGCCAAATTGATATAGAGGTAATAATCTTAAACCATGTCATATTTCATCTTTTAGTACTCTTTTATCATGTAACAACATAAGCAAAAGTTTCTTCTCTCTATTGAATGCTTTTTATAATATATAATATGTTAATTAGCCATACTTATCGTTTATCATGTTTCAAGATTCAACTGTTAGTTTCTTGTGTTATAAGTTGAAACTTGTATAACTTGATATTAAGCATGATCTTGATGTAGATAATGCTTGAAAGAGACACTGGGCGTCCACGTGGATTCGGGTTCATAACATTTTCAGACCGTAGAGGCATGGAAGATGCAATCAGGGAAATGCATGGAAGTGATCTTGGGGAACGAGTCATCTCCGTCAACAAGGCTCAGCCTAAAATGGGCGGTGATGAGGCGGCGGATCACGGTTACGGTGGAGGCTATCCGTCGTCAGGCGGTAGAGGTGGTGACAGATCTATGGGACAGGACGAGTGCTTCAAGTGTGGCCGCGCAGGACACTGGGCTCGTGACTGCCCCTTCAGCAGGCGGCGGTGGTGGTTGCGGCAGAGGTGGCGGCCGGTTCTCTTCCCGCCCCAGGTTCGGTGGCGGCAGGGGAGACCGCTATGCTGACCGTGAACGTTATGTGGATGATAGATACGATGGAGGGCGTTTTGGGGGATAGAGACCGCTATGATAGTCGAGAGAGCAAGTATGTTGGAAGCCGCAGTCGTTATTCGAATGATAGGTAGGGTAATGGCATCTAGAATCCTTGAGTGGAGATGTTTTGAAATGACTGTTTTACCCTTCAAGCAATAAATATTTATGTATTTGGCGTTTGTTTGATTTAATAGGTACTCACCAAGTGGAGGTGGAGATCGGTTTGGAGGCGATAGATATGGAGTCCCGGAACGTTACCCACCGCCGCCTCATAGTGGGTATGGCAGGGAGAGAGAGTATGATCGGGAAGTTGGCCCGAGGAGGAGCAGTGACAGATATGGTGGTGGTGGTGGTGGTGGACCTGCACGTTATGAAGGAAGAAACTATAGGGACAGAGCTGGTCCATATGACCGGCCTAGAAGGGGAGGTGGCCGGCCATCTTCCTTTGACTATTGAAAAGTTTTGTTGCTATCTGAATATGCTCAACCATGAAACCTTTTATCCATCGGCTTTCTAGATTTGGTTAGTTAGTCTTGCTTTTTAATGAATGGTTCACAAGTTGTTTGGTTTATATCCTTGTTTATCGTCTAAATCTCATCTCAGTTGAGGTGATTAATAAAACCTTGTGCCACTTTTTCTTCTACTAATATATTTTCAGTTGGGTCCTAAAAGTAAATTATTGTTTCATGTATGCGTTCTACTTTATCTAAACAATTTTGTAAACCTTTTAAAGTCGTCAACAAAATACATCCGTACACTTGAACAAAATTTGATTTTCCTAATTTTGCTGCTGGAGCCTGGAGGTGTGGGTTCTTGCTCCCTCACTTTGTACATTTCAGATGTTATTAGCATTTAGCAAGACTTATTACATGATATTGGCGATGCGTTTAGCTACTTCACGTCATGACTCTCTGTCTCTCTCTCTCTCTCGTTATTCCCTAAGGCTATATTTTTATTGGGTTCTTGTTATTCATTATGTCAAATAATCATTTAAAACTATCTACTATCAACACCGAGATAACATTTAAAAATGGGTATAGTAGAAAAACATGTAAAAATATTAGGTAATACCCTAAAATATTTTATTGTTTTTTCTCTCGATCGCTTCGTTGCCATGATCATCTAAATTTGATTCATATTACTTTACCCTTACCATGCTTGAGATGGGCCTGAAAACATGATACCAAACCTTATTGTAATTGTAATGTATAAAGTTGGTAGAAATTTATTGGACTTGAAAAACTGGAATTAGCTCATCCTTAAACGAGCCTTATAATAATCATTGTAAAGTCGGTTACTGATTTTGATGTACATCTCTAAGTAAGGGCGTTCACAAACCACCAACATTGTACTAGACCGCATCCTATAACACAGTTTAGTTACAAAAGATTAAATCCTAAAACTAAGATATCAATTTATAGATTATCTTCAAGGAATAGAAGCATATCAAAAAAAAACTTCTTGGTGTATTCGTCAATAGTCGAGTTGTCTAGTGCAAAAAAAAAAAAAAACATTGATCAGTTTCTAGTCCCATGCCTATGTCTATGTATATGCTAAACAAAACTTTGTCTTTAATCTTTCCACAAATTCTTCCCAAGTGAAGGAAGACACACCATTATATTGCAGAGTTCGATGGAGTGTATTTCACCAAGGGAATCATCTTTAACATTTAAGAAGCGTATACCACCTTTCGGTATCTTTCACATCGGCACATACAAAGAATTTGCTCCATTTATGCTATCCAACGAATGGTCACTTTTGGATCAAGCACACCATTAAATTTTAAATTCTTTAGGTCTACAAGATAAAAGCTTTAAAAGTGCATACCTTGGGTGCATCTTTGGATGGGGGAGGAGACCCTCCTAAGTGTTAGACTTTAAGTAACACACTCGAGAGTTCTACTTATAGTGTAATTTTCTGATTGAGTTCGAAAATGGGTTCCCAAACTTCATAAAGTAAGTCGTGCATCTTATATTGGTTATATTCTTGTACACGATGAAGAGAAATGGTGGAGAGTGTGGGAGTTTTCTAAAATTCAAATAACTAATATGATTAAATAAAAAATAAGTCAAATGGATAAAACAATCTTTTCAAGTTTGATCGGATAAAACCCAGCCAAATTAACTTAAAAAAAAAAAAAAAACAAATACGTAGTTTTTTAATCCAAATTGATTTTTTTTTGTCTAATAAATGCAGATAAAATAAAAACACCTGAATTTTCTACTTCTTTTTCGAAATAACAAAAAAAAAAGACAAAAAACGATGCCTAGTAGAGTAGTATCGAACCAAACTAATATTATCAGTACCTGTGTATCGAGAATGGTACATGGTTTCAGTACTAACATTGGTATTGACGATATCAAATCCTAAATATGGTATACTAAGTACCGTCATATATGTTTAAATTCAATATCGGTTTCGATATAGTAACAATGAAGCCTACGGTGTACAAGCAATTGATGTACAAACCTACAATTTTTTTTCCATAAAAAAGGCGTATCTATTAAATCTCCTCCCAAACAAGAAAAAAACGTATCTATTAAATCGTCCTTTGAAGACTCAATTGAAAAAGTTTTCTTACCTTCAAAAAAAAAAAAAAAAGTTTACAACTTTATATCATAAAAAAGTAAATGCTCCACTAGTCCATTCACTAAAGAGTAGTCAACTGATCGTAGTCAACCTTAAGTTGATCGCAGTCAACCATACGTCGACTGTAGGTATCGTTAATTATTTGCTATTAAATCTCTCCGTATCTCTTGCTGTCAGGGGAAACCCCCCAAAATTTGTCTACAGACTACAGCTGAAAGAAAAAATGGCAGGTAATGGAAAAGGAACCGCATCAGCAGATTATTTATCGGGGAAACGGACGCGTGACGGAGGCCATAAGACGGTATTTCGGAGTGACTATCTGTTCAGTTCTCGTGACATGGAAGATTATAGAAATGGCGGTATAAATATTAACATTAATCTGCCATTCATCGTCACTTGTTGGAATGAAATGTATCTAGCTTTTAGGGTTTCATGGAAAATTTATTTTGTTGTTTGAAAATATATCCTTCTACTTCTACCATTTCCGATCATCATCAATAACATGAAGTAACTTAAAAACTGTGGCTTGTTTCTCATTTATGGCCTACATATATGTGTTTTCGCTAGCATATTATTAATAATGTGAACTCCATCTTGCTACGGGTGCATAATCGAGTTAAACTTTAGATTACATACTCTGTTATCCTAAGATTCATTTATTATCTTCCATTTTGTGTCTTCGTGTCTACTTGTCATTCATTTAGTTTTTGTTCCTTTTCTGATGAAGTGTTTCATAAAGAATACTTTGGTCAAGATCTCGGAGCCCAGGCTGGACCAAAGACTCCTAGCATTCCCGTTTTTCCCAAAAACGAAGAGAGATATGAAGAGAATCAAGACAAGTTTCTTGAAGAGCATTATAAACAATGCATGTTCTAATTTTGTTAAATACCCTTCTTTCATTTTAGTTTTAATTTTGTATTTTATCAAAATTAAGGGTTTATTATTTTAATTCCAAGTCGGGTTTCTGATGTTCCACATTTGTTTACAGTTCGCAGCAAGTATGGTGGGGTATCCGTGGGCAGCTGGGCTCGTGTGAAAAGAGGGAAATACATGGGAGATCTAGCACAGGTACATTTCTATATATCTCACCCACATACATTGACGTATTTGCCCTTTTGCCCTTTTACCCTTTGCCTGGCTGGCATTCATGGCTAAGGTTATTTTGGGCATTTCGATTTTCTAGTTTCTAGCTATATATAGATTGGTTTTTCATTGTTTTAGTTATATGAATATGAATGAATGCAGGTTGTGAATGTGAATGAGTTTCAGAGGAAAGCGACTGTTAAGCTTCTACCGAGAATAGATCTACAAGCCATGGCTATAAAATATGTAATAAATTGTTACAGTTGCAAGTTTTCTATTGTCATTATCATATTAATTTCTTATTTCTAAGTTTCACGTCACTTGTAACATTGAACAACATTACATTTATGATGTTTGCGAGTATATAACTATATATCTATATATTCTTCACTTTTTTCTCGACAGAGTGGCGGAGATACTGGCTACCAATATACATCTCCAGCTCCTAGACTTATCACTTCCAGTGAACTAAAGTACCAAACTTCCTTTTTCTTTCTAAAATCTCTACATTTTTTGGGTCCGGTTTTTTCATCCATCTATCTCGCATTTTGTGTAGTTCGTATAGGCTACGAGTTAGGCATAGCCTTGACCCTGAAACAGGAGATTTGTATGAGGTATTTGATGGAATGAAACTGAAGGATGGTTATGTCTTCAAAAAACTCTCCTTGGATTCGTTGAATTTCTCTAGCAAGCCTTCTGAAGCAGAGCTTAAAAAATTTAGTCCTGGCAAGGAACAACAAGAATCCAATGATGCAAATAAAAAACAAACTACAGATAACAATCAAGTACAAGAGGGTTTGTCGAGCTCTGACATGGAGAATACTTTTGAAATTCCTGATCTTATGAACCTCGGGTGTGTATAATACTGTATATGATCAGGCAATCAGCAACGCTTTTTAATTATTATTATTATTTATGTTTTCTGGTTTGTAATTTGGTTCACAGTGGCAAGGCATTTGGAAGAGAGAATGATGCCTCTGAAGCTAGGTTTGTGGAGAAATTAAGGAGTGGAGCAAAAGAGTTGAGTGGTTTGATGGAGGAAGCGACTAGCAGATGTTTGGGGAGGGCGTCTGTTGAGAATCAGCTTCGATGTGCTCTTGAGGAGTTGCAGTCATGCAAGGAGAGGGTTTCTGCTGCAGAGGAGGAGCGTGATACCTTACGCGATCATCTTAAGCTTGATAGGAAGAAGATTTTTGCTATCTTCAGGAGAATTTTGGATACAAACGTTGACTTGTTCCCCCGTCTCAAAGAAGATGTTGGTATTTGGTGTGCAAACCACAAGGCAAACATTTAGTTGGATTTTGATGAATGAAAGCTCTAGTTTTGCCATTGTGTTAGAGATTTGTGTTGTTGGTATGTAAGATGTCTCCCTAGTTTCTTTTGACATTGGCTATCTATCTGCTCATCTGCCCGTTGTGATGTGTGGGTGGTTTTTTGTTTGTGGACCTCCGTTTGGCAGCTTTCATTAGGGCTTGTTTCTATGATGTATATGTATGACTAGTGTATCCTTTTGTGTTTTCATGTGTGGTTTCTTACTTTCCAAAAATGTGTGCTATCGGCTCCTGTTTAAATTATAAAGGTATATGCGATTAATAGTGTAAATGATCTCGATTTGAGCATGTAAAGAGAGAGATTGAAATTTTCATAAAGTAAAAATACAAGTTTTGATATGATTCTAATGAACATGGCATGTTAAATAAATAGCAAAATATGATTCTTTTCTTTTATGTTGTGGAACTGTAGAATTTTATGAAACTCATAAAGGTGTTGGAAAAAGCAACAATTTACAATGCGTAAATGGTTACATTAGGGTTATGTTTTTAATTGAGATTTTTTTTCGGGTTGCTATTCCAAAAGTACAATTGAGAGGCCTACTTATTGAAGAGTTTGTATTTTAGATTTAACGGTTTCTAAAACCACATTACCACATTATTTTGGTTATTCTAAAGAATTAGAATACATGTAATAATAACTACACTGAAATTTCTCCTTTGAATCACATTTAGGTTAACTTTATCCGGCCACAAAATCATATCTACCTTTCGCAAAAGTATTAAGAGAAGGGTTAACAAAATGTCACCGACTAACAATCAAGCTCAAGATAAACTTGGCAACTTTTCTAATCAATAAAAGATGATCAGTGATCTCGATCTCAAAAGAAGAATCAACACTATGAATAGGGCTAAGTCAACATCAAACCTTTTGTCAACTAGGTTTACATGTGTGGGCACCCAGTTTAATTGTAGCTTCCACATCAAAATATTGTGAGCTTTATAGACACTAAAGAATTCCACCTTGTAGGACCATCAATAACCCCCACCAAACCATCATCTAGAAAGACGCCGATACACGATACTAAGATCCAAATCTCATATATATTGTTCAAAAAATGTATTAGACTACAAAACGACTTTAAGCTTGACTCATGATAATTATACGTGTAAACAAGTTGAGCTAATTGTGTGCTACTTTAGACCGAATCATTGAACTAGACTTGATATTAAGTTAAACGAGCAATTAGGTGGCCACAATGGATTCCAACCTTGCGGAAGAGTTGTGAACGAGTGGCGGTGTGCAACTATACACTATACAAAAGAGTAGTTAAAATACATATGAATACAAATAAATAATAGCAAATATCTATCACTTTTTAACTTTGAATATAAAAACAAAGCAAAAATAAAAAGTAAAGTTATTAAATCTTGAGATTGTATATGAAAATGATCAAATAGATCAACGTTGATCTCTTTTTTCAAAGAGAAAAGTTATGACTTTTAATGTATTTTTCTAAATATAATCGGATTTTAAGTTGTAAGTTGTACTTAAATCATATAATTGTGAATAAAAATAGTCTATTGAGCATTGCAACCACACAATCAAGTCGTTTATTTATTTATTTATTTTGTATTTTGTTGGAATCTTTCCTCAATCATCATGAATAAAAATAGTACGTTGAACATTGAAAACATACAATCAAACCCTTAACTCATTAAGTATGTTTGCTATGTTTGATAGACCATAACTATCTTAAAAGATAACTAATTTTTCGTTTTTTATTGTCATGTTTAACTTTAACAATAATGTTAACATCAAAGGTAAATATAAAAGAAATCAAACTTTGGTGCATATTTACCCAAAAAAAAATAATCTAAACTTAGACTTGCAAAGTTAGATGTGGAATATAGACCATCTTTACAATTTACTCAAATATGAATTGTATTATCTTCATCACATTTTTATAAAATTAAATGTAACTAATAAATGTTTGTAAACACAATGGAGAAAAAAACAACAAATTGACAAGAATGAATTTAACAAAAATAAATATAACTATTAATATGATATCTTGATATTTGTGATATATAAGTATTTGATTACAAAATATTTCTATCATATCTTGATATTTGTGATATATAAGTATTTGATTACAAAATATTTCTATCATATCTTGATATTTGTGATATATAAGTATTTGATTACAAAATATTTCTAGTAAATTATGTACTTAGAACACTCACAACTGAATTATATTTTTCACAAATGATTCTGATGCAATGTCACCCACTAAACTTAACAAATCTTCATCATTTGAAATTCCTATACTCACTAGGTTTCCCAACCTGACTTACTCAATTTATTGTATCACATGTAATAATATTAAAGATACATTCTGCTGAGAGATTCAATAAGTATTAGGCCACTAGTTTAATGACTATAAGACTTGTGATATTTCGTTATGCTTATGTTTATGTATTGACGATGACATCCCAACGTCTTAATATAAATAAAATCCATTTCTTCAAAAATGATTTGATAATATCTATCATGTTTTTGGGAACAAATTCCGCAATATTATTTCTCAAAGAGGATACTCTTATTATAAATCAGCATAAACAAATATGTTTTTTTCTGGCCGTGAAATTGGAGATGTCACATTTGATATCAGAGCATTAGTTTAAGCGAACTAAAAATTTGTATGATTTCTAGACTTAAACTTGAAATGTTAAGCAATGATTATGAGATGAGTGTTTGCTATATTTAGGAAATATAAATGAATATACACGCGTACCAACTTATTTAGGGGAGATGCCTGAATTGCTTTTATCTGCTAAATGATTTATGTTATAGGATGCCTTATATGATTTATGATGCTATTATTTGGTCGGATCTATGGTATATTGCCGAGTGGATCTGAAAATTTTATGTGTTCAGATTTCTAAATGTTTAGTTAAGGTATTAAAAGTGACATATAACTTTTCAAAGTGATAAAGAGATTTATACGTCCGTCGTAAATAAAACTTTACGTACCTTAATTCTCGTTATTATACATCAAACGTCTGATTTGGCGTATAGATTGACATGGTGAGAACTCGAAGTGGATTAGGAAATGATAATCAACAACATGAGCCACGAGTGATTGAGCGTGTACTATAGGTAACAACATCACTCGAGCCAATCACGATGACAAGAGTCCAAGTAATGATTCAAGCTATGATGGATAAAAAAAGGAGGATATGAGACAAATGTTGCGTAATAATATGGATGAACCTACCGTACCTGTTGTGTAACTTGAGTTGAACGAAGGAAAATATGAGGAGGGAAATTGTAGTCAGACTATTAGCCAAAATGAGCCAATAGTGGTTAGAAGGAACCAACCAAATGAAGGGGATGATGTACGTGGATGCAAGTACAAGGATTTCATGATATCCAAACCACTAAGTCTTTCTGGAAGCCCAACACCGATGGAAGTCATGGATTGGATCTCCGAGCTAGAGATGATGTTTGAAAGTTGCTACTACAGTAACAAGTATAAGACTATTCTCGCGGTTAGACAGTTGAATACTAGGGTATTAAGTCGGTGGAAGTTACTGGCTGATACCATGCCCAAAGGAGAAGCTAACAAGATATATTGGGAAGACTATCTGATGCAACTGAAAATGAAGTACTGTTCTGAGCAGGATCTTCATGAGATCAACAATGAGTTCCAAAATCTGAAGAAATGAAGGATTATCGTCAACGAGTGCGCTGGAAGTTTTACGAAGAAAATGAAGCTTGTTCCCTATTTGGTTCCAATTGAACTCTCAAAGGTCAACAAGTTTGCTAATTGATTACCAGCAGACTTTGGTCCAATAATCAAACAAGCAACCACCTTAAAAGTCGTTGTATGGACAACTAATAATGTTGAAACCTAATTAAGAGAAATAAGGGTCTGAAGAGAGCCGAGGTAGGAGATAAGAGGAAGTTTGAGGGATCTTCAAGATCCGACAAGAAAAATAGGTACTCCAAATTCGACCACAACAACAATAGGACTGGGGGTAACGATGAAGAAAAGTGGTGTGCCAAGAAAAAACAGATACCCGAAGTCGAATGACCATAACTCTCGCATACGGGCTCCGATTTCGACATTTTTTATATCCTGAAAATCCCTTCTACGAGCTCTACAACTTTCATTAAGGTATAAAATTCATATTTAGATCGGTATAGACTGTTAAAGTCCGTGCGAAATTCATAAGTTCTTCATACAAATTTTGTTATCGAGTGTCTTTATATCGAAAAACTCTTATTCACGAGATCTTCAATTCTCGTTTAGATTGTTTCGACTAACAATCAACCAAATTAAATTTCGATTTCTATGTCCATACTGTTGCACTGAAACTTCGAAAAACCATAACTTCTTCGTACGAAGTCAGATGCGGACGTTCTCTATATGCACACTCTCGGTTTTATAATTACTATGACTTTTCCTTTAGATTGCTTTTCGTTTACAATTACTATGGCGTTCTATATATGCACGCTCTTGGTTTTACAATTACTATATGTTGCTTAGGCTAATAAGCAACCTATCTAAAATTGACTTTTTATGATGCACATACTCGTGTCGGTTAATCGCAAAACTTCGAAGAAGCATAACTTTTTATATGAAGGCGAATTTCAAAGTTCTTTCTATGTACGAAATCCCTGTCACATATACTATAACTCTGATTAAGATTATTTTTCCTAAATAAGCTTATATCAAAATGTCGTTTTTATCATTTATTTTATTTTAATTGACTAAGGGGTCGTTTGATAGTTTCTGACTGGGTTAGAGCTGACTGGGTTAGAAGCTGACTGGGTTAGAAATGCTGATTGAGTCCATATCTGACTGAGTTTATGCTGTTTGATTATTTATCTGAATGGTTGTGCTGAATGAAAAATGACCATATTACCCTTGTGTTGTCTCTTATGCTGGATAAAAATTTATAAAAACACAAATTATCATATAAAATCCAAATTAACCCGTATATGCGGACGTTACAGTAACATATATGATGTTTTTTTTTTGTTTGCAAATCTTCCTGGTCTCTTTGTTTATGGCGTGTAGACCTCGCACAAACATTAGCCATCGTAGATTGTTTGTTTTTTTTAGAAGATCGAAACCTAAAAATATATGCGTGTTATTAGAATCTTCTATCATCTCTACACATATTCGAGAGTAAAAAACACATATATATTTGTTTTTTTTATTATTTTATTTTTAAATTAAAACTTACATCTATATAAATATGACTCGTAGACTGAAAACCTTTTAACTCAGAAAAAATAAACAAAACCATAGTTAATATATGAATTTATAACAAAAATCAAAACCAGGG